TTTATTTATTTACTGGGTTTGTTGGAGAGAAATTTGTCCAAGAAGCTAAAAGATCAACAATATGCTACAAACAACATGACAAAGGCTGACATGCATAAAAGGGCTTGGAGCCCGGTCATAACTGCTTTGCAGTTCTAGTTTTTATTTGATTTATTGTTTGCTTAACTGAAAGTTATGATGCATTTTGATAATCAGAGAATGTTTATCAAAGTTACAGGAGAAAAGAGGACAGATCTCTTTTCTCCCTCAGTATGATTTCAGCTATGTATGGATTTTCTGTGCTAAAATCTTATTTAACTAAACTAATCCTTATGGTTTAAGTTGATGAAACATCAATGTTTATTTGTCTGAATCGTATTGCAAATGTTTGAGTTTGAAGTAATTCATTCTTTCAGTAATGTTTTAAAGAGTTCTCATCAGATAATAACTAAATAGGTCATGAAATGTTTTGTTTATTCAACTGTGCAGAAACAATAATCTTTGTTTAGCTTCAGAAGGTGACGGCAAGTCTCTGAACTAACATTTTCCCTGATATCTTCCTTTTCTAACCTAACCTCTGAAGGCGGAACTAAGAAAACCCTCTTTAAATGACTAACACAGTTTCCGCCCGGTAGTCAGAGAGAGAGACGGACCTCCATGCCGTCCCCAACACAACAGCTGGGTTCTTTCCGGAGAACCAGAGCTTAAGCTGTGTCGGTTCTACTCTTCATTGCCAACGGGAAACCGCATAGCCGGATACGACCAACACCTGGCATATCCAAAATATGAGAGTAAAGCTCACAGCAACTCGTTTTAAAATCTTCCTGCCGGAAGTTTTAATTTGGAACCGGGATCCAGTTTGGCTTCGCCTTTCTTCTTACGGATTGACATGAATGTATGTAGATGCTGAAGCTAACATGCCTGGAGTGTCCCGCTGAGTGGACGATCCTGACGGATTTTCTTACTAAGTGAGAGACCTCCCTGAATACCCGGATTGATGACTGATCTCATCTTTAAAGGTAAAAGCTGGCTGTTACGAGCATCGTTGTCTGGCTGACGCTGAGCAGAGAAATGCCTTGCCTCTGGTTTCCCACATTGTTAAAGATAAGATAATAACTTAGGAACTACTGTAACTAATATCTTATTTTTCCTCCTTTTCTTAAACCTACCTTGCCAAACTAAGTTATTTGCCTTGAATGTCTGGTATTCAACATCTAGCTTGACGTTTGCTGTTCTATTTAAGTGCTTGATTGACAACGTAGCTCAAAGCATGCTTGTTATTGTTGGTTCTAAACTTTTATAGGAAATTTATTGCTCACAATTAAGTGTACTGTAGTGATTTTGTTTGACTGTAAATAAATGATCAAATTTAAATTCACTGACTAGAGTCACTCATTTTGTGTTGTCCATTCACTTTGCATGGAAGGAATATTTACTGAAAACAAAATGATCTTGCTACAATAATATCCTTATAACCTTGTTATAAGAAGTGTAGGTGTGAATCCTACAGTTACAATCATAACTTTCATTTCTCTGGTAAACCATCAGCATGATTAAAAATGTAACAGTGTCTCTGTCTTCTATGGTTGTTAATTAAAGGCAAAACGTCAGTTTTTATGAGCAGCCATGTTGGATTTTTGGAACAAGACTGCCCTCTAATATCCCTCCTAAAATGTAACTCTGTCAATCACAGTGTAATACATTTGTCTATTAGTTATTTAATTTAATTATTAAATAACTAATGGAAACTAAATGTATGGGGTGAAAATGCATATATGGACATGTAAGACTTTCAAGAACCAATAAAAGTTTGCTTTTAAAATTGGTTTAAAGTGTACTTTTTACTTTTTTTTGTCTAGAAAAGGTCTCATTTGTTTATTCAAAATCTGTACTGGAGCAAGCCACTAGGAGGTAGTTTCAACTTCAGGCTTCTGTCTCCAAAAGGTCTCAAAACATTTGCTTTGGTTCTCAACTTTCATTCTTGAAAAGCAGAAGCCTTTTTTTACTCGAGTTTAAAATGTGAAAAAAAATATGAGTGACAAAGTTTCATCTTGGTTTAAAAGTCAACTCACCCCTGAAGACAGTCCAGGTAGACCTGGAGTTCCAGGTGGTCCTGGTGGTCCAGGAATACTGATAGCTGCCATTTAAACAGAGTGAAATCAACATTTAACATACAAGTTAATCTAAGGAGGATTAAGGTTAAAAAGAGTGTGGGATTAAAAATGTTCTGAGTGAATTAACTGGACAATGGTTACTGAAATCACAAAGATCAAATAAACATTCCTAAAAATCACAGCTAAAAACAAAAAGAAATCTACAGGAAATTTTTGTAAAAGGTGCCAGAATATAAGGTTTTCCTCAACATAAAATCTGTTTATTACTCTGCCAGCAGGAGTTGTTAACCTATTCAGTATGTTTTACTGACATAAAAAATGTTAATAAACAGAACAGAACAGAACAGAATAGGTTTTATTGTTATTGTACCAGATTACAACAAAGTTTGGGTTTACTTCCCTGAGTGAAAAAGTAAAAACTGTATAAAAGGTAAAATCAGTACATACGTATATACACACATATTTACACACTAAAATGATGTAAGGAGAACACAACAGGATTGTTGCCCTAAAAATAGTCATTTCACAAAAAAGTAGTAATTTCAATTTCAAAAACACTTCAGATGTGTAACAAGGTAAGATTGCTAAAGCACTAGTTGTTCCTTATTACAGCACTTGTTGAGGCAAGATTCAACAGGTCTTTAGAAAGCTTTAATTTCTGAAAGATATTTGTTTTATTAGATGTCAAAAACAATTCTGTCTCAGTAAGTTTCTGCACAAAAGCACATTCTGAATCAGGATGAAGAGATCTGCTATAATACTATTTTTCTAATCTGTCTAATTGGTCTTAGTTTGTGCACCAAAGTCATGTTTGACTTTGGCTTGCCATTCCCTGAGGAAACTCATACCACTCGTCACCTTTCATGTCTGATATTTCAACTGAGTTTATGTCAAAATAATAACTAAGTTGAAGCAGTTGTGCTACGATTCTGAAAATATCATTAAAAGTAAAAAATAATAAAAAAAAAACCCTGAACTTCTTGCTTAAATTCTCAATGTAACCTTGATGAAACACAAAGTTGCATATTAAGATTCAGATAACAGATACACATAAAACAAGCTGTATTTTAAACTAATTAAAAGCAAAAACTCACCACCGCACACTTCTACAGAGAGGCAGCTGCATTGTTAATGAGCTTTTATTTTGAAATTTTGTGATTTCAAATCATGACTCACTCTGTGTGCCCCTGTACGGTCCAGACAGGGATGGTCCAGGTGGTCCAGGTGGTCCAGGAAGTCCAGGTCGACCATCAGAGCCTCTTCCTGGTTGTCCAGGTGGCCCCTGAGGTCCCGGTGGTCCAACAATTCTTTCTCCTGGAGGGCCCTGGTCAGAGAACGATCATTACGCATCTTAACAACAGGAACGGGTCTTTATTTATATAGATACACTCTTAATCTTGAAGCGACAACATTTTAGCAGTTTAGATCCTGAGGAGGGATCTTACCGGAGGTCCAGGGACTCCTGGAGGTCCAGCTGCGCTCCCTCCATATCGGGGGTCATAATATCCTCCAGGTTCTCCTTTCTCTCCTTTTAATCCCGTCTCACCTTTCAGCTCATTCTTATCAGAAAAATGTAAGAAATATAATCTTACTGAAATATTTGAGCCACTGAATATATTAATGTAAGAAGTTTTTACCTTAAAAGCGTAAATATCAAAGCCTGGCTCCAGACCTAGGATATAGATTAGATTCAATAAACAGAAAACATTTAAATTTTGGCTTTTCTCATCACATTTAATATCCTGTTACCTGAAATATGAAGTAACCCCGGTGGTCCTCGATCACCTTTCTCTCCTTTAACTGTAAAAATCAGGCAAGTTTAACACCAGATGTTATGACTTTTAAAGAAAATAGAGCTTCTATAATCCAAAATTTCAACTTTCTTTGTAATAAGATGCAAACTCACCAGGGTAAAAACTGGAGTGCTCATTGTACCCCTGACACATAAAAAAGGATATTTAATGGTTGTTAATGAAATGCTAAAATTAAAATATGAATATTTTTGATTTGAAGGGAAAAAAAGGAGCAAGAAAAACAAAATCTCATTTGTCTCAACCCACTCCGATTCTGTCAGTGGAATGTCCTGGAGGTCCCGGAGGTCCAGGGGGTCCTGGTGGACCTGGGGGACCCTGACAAATGACAAAAATTGGTTAAATTCTTTAGAAGTGTGAACTAAATATTGATCGAACATCTGTGGCTCTTACAGGGTAACTGTAACCATCTCCAGCTCCTGCTTCTCCCTTCTCTCCCTTGACACCATTTAATCCTGGTCGGCCCTGAAACATCAGTCACAATCAAAGTTTTATTTTAAGTGTTATGTCTTTATAGCCCATGTTATAAAAAAGTTGTTAAACAGACATAAAACTTAACTCTTATCTATAAAAACAATAACAACAAAAATTGAAATAAAGTTGATTTTTCTTACTGGTCTGCCGGGGAAACCAATTTCTCCTTTGGGCCCTTGTGGCCCATATGGACCCTGAAAAAACATGTTCACTTGTCACACAATTATTATCAAATAACTTTTAAATTAAGACCTTGCTTCTTTTTTGAAGGAATGCAAATTGCACACAATCTTTCACGCCAGACATTTAAACTGAAATTATCTTTATGCTAACTAGCACTCAGGACACACTGGAGAGCTTTTGCCTAATATCAAGTAAAATCAACTTTTTTGAGTTTTATATCATGTTACAGTGGGGAAAATAAGTATTTAGTCAGTCACCAATTGTGCAAGTTCTCCCACTTAAAAAGATGAGAGAGGCCTGTAATTGACATCATAGGTAG